ACCAAACGTTGGAAAATGACTTGCAAAAAATTCCAGCAAATTATTTTACGGAAACAAATAGAATCTTAATATGAATTCTTTTTTTTTTTTGTTGCATTTTCAGGCTCAGATTTGTGTTTTAAATGGATTCGTATTTCAATGGATTGAATGAATTTATAATTAAATGGGTATTTAAACAGATTCGGTTAGTGTGGGGATAATGCCTAAAAGGATTCGGGTATTTAAATCCACAGTTGGGTTCGGGTTCAGATTTGGGTAATTGATTTTTAGTGGGTTCCTGCTGCCATCCTAGGACTAACCATACGATAAACCTAGGCATGGCCGGTTCAGTGAACCATCGGTTCGAGATATTTAAAATTTTGAACCGAAACTGACCCTGGAACCTTCGGTTTCGGTCCGATTCTGGTTCCGGTACGGTTCGGCACGGTTCCGGCGAACTGACAGTTCGAATTATGCTTCCGATTCGGTTCAGGCATTACGCAAATTTTTAAAAAAAATAATAAAAATTTGATTCTGAATTCATAAATAAATAATAATTTTAAAATGTTTAAATTTTATTAACTAAATAAATTATTATAAAATTTGAAAAGAAAAACTTCTATTAAAATATAAAAATTTGATCTGAATTCATAAATAAATAATAATTTTTAAAAATGTTTAAATTTTATTAACTAAATACATTATATAATTTGAAAGAAAAACTTCTATAACTAACTAGAACTATTTATTTACAGTTAAATTTTACAAATTTGTGCTAATGTCACTCAATATAGAAAACTATAAACTGGAATATAAAAAAGTTAATGAAATGAGTTGGAAAAATTATTATTTTAAAGCTAAGAAAATCTATTAAAAATCAAATGAAGTAAATTATGAGATGGAAAAAATTGAGAATTAGAGAAAGAATTTGGAATTGGGATGTAAGAAACTAAAAAATAAACAATTATATAATTTCAATATAAGGAAATAAGCAATAGAAAAAATAATGGAACTATGAAATTTTTGAGATGAATTTTGATTGAGAATGAAAAAATCACTCAACATTAATTGTTGTGAAATTAAAATCATCAAACCTCAACATTTTATACAATGTTTCTCATTTATAAGTTTTCCAAAATTGTCCTCTTATCATAAGACAAATTAATAACTATGATTTTGAGAGACCGATTTATCGGCACCGCATCCAAAATAAAAATATTTCATCAAAAATACAAATGATGTTTTCGGGTCCTCCGGGGGGATTTTCGACGAAAACACTATCATATCAAAAAACTAAGCGTTGCACTATTTGAATTGAATGTAACTCTTTCTTTATACACTTTAAAAGTTTTTTTTTTTTTACAAATCAACTATTCATGTAGGCACGGAACCGAAACCGAACCATACTGTAAATGACCAGAATCGAACCGAAATTGCTGGTTCAAAGTTTTGAACCAGAATCGACAGTTCAAGGGCCGGTTAAGGTTCATGTGAATGTTAAAATTTGAACCTGAACCGGCGGTTAACCGACAGTTTCGATCTACTTCAAACCGAAAATTTTCTATTTTTATTTTAAAAGTAAATATGAAGTACTAATTATTAAATTATTAAAAATGTATATGTATATGTATGTGATTACTATATAAATCAATTATTCTAAAAATCTATTATTATTATTATATTACTATTTAGTAAATTGAGGAAATGCTGGAACCTAACTAATAGAATCAAAATGAATCAAATCGGATTAGAAAACCAAGCAAATCGAGCCGAATCATTAAATTGGACCAAATTGATTCGAATCGAACCGGAATAGTCTAGAAATCCAAAATTTCTTTTCTTCTTCTTCGTCCTTCTTCTCCAGTGTCAACCTCACCCTCGCCCTCTCCTCCTCGCGTTTTTCGATCACCGGAGACCAGTGCCACGCATTGCCTTCGCCTCCTCTCCGCAGCGGATTCCGGCCTCCCTTCTCTCCTTTCTTTCGTTTTTAGCGTACGCAGAAGGCGCAGGAGAGCCGCGACATCCTTCGAGGCGCAGGAGAGCCGCGACATCCTTCGATCGGAAAGTCGCGTCGAGCCTCCTGCTCCTCGATTTTCCGACGACTCCAGCCTCTCTCTCTCGACGACGAAGCTTGGGTCTCCCTTTTTCGCTCCCTCCTTTTTGTTCCGGTTGACGCAGCAAGCTGGCGGAGCTGCGATCATGGCTCGCGATCTGTACAGTCGCGTTATCTGCTCTCACCTTCAAGTTTCTGACATTTTCCAGCTGAGTAAGTAATTTCCTGCTCCATTCTTCTGGTTTTATGAATTATTTCGACTAAATTGAAGAATTTAAGCCTGTATTATGTTTTTGTGAAGAGGTTAGATTTTTAAAAGTACTGATTATGCGCATTATCACGGGAAAATTTGATATTATCCTCTAATTGAAAACATGAACTGATTACATATAAGGAATAAAGGGTTTATCTAGTTATTGCAAATGTTAGTAAGGAAATCAAAGACTTCTCGATAGGGCAGTAACTAACCTGGCTATTTTTACGAGTTACATTATAATATGAAGAGAATGTAATGGTACAATATCTATACATGAAGATGGCAAAGGATGAGTAGTTATTTCTGATAATATGGATATATTAGACATCTAGACTAATTGAATTTAATATAGAAATTTATTGCTCTCTTTCAAATGGGCCGGAAAAGTGATTGTAATTGGGAGAGTAAGTAATTGAATTCACTCCATGTCGTCTCGTTCTAACATTCAGTTATCTTATATTTGATAGTATTTTCTTCGAGATTTTAAAAAATATTTAGAATTCTAATATCTGCACTTTAAAGAAGTACTGGAAGGGATTTTATGCTGTTGTAAGGCTTTGATGACAAGGTTTATGTTTATTTTAAATGGGAGTAAGCTTAATGAATAAGTCAAGTAGGAATTATGAAAACTTCTAATTCATCTGCAAAGAGTAGTTGATTTAGTAAGAAGTTTCAATAGGAATTACTTGGATTTTGGACCAAATTAACGTTTTACAGTAAAGAAAAATAGATTTATTTAGATTATGAACTAAGGTTGTTATGGATGATAAATGGCGATACTGTTGTTTAAAGGAGGACGGATATTCGATTTGATTGAATGCCCGATGGATGGGCTGTGTGTATTGATTGGTAAATATATAATATTATTATGATATTTAACAGGTAGATAGTCATATTTCTAGGGGAGGTTCTGCCGAAATTTCGATAGAACCTAGACCAATCTTAATAACATAATTAATAAGTTTATTTAGATAAATTCTATAATTTGATACATAATAAATAAAGTGCTCTAATTATTTATTTATTTTCATATTATTGTTTATTATTATTATTATTATTATTTATTTTATTATTGTTGTTTATTGTTAACACTATTTACTTATTTATTTGTATTTGATTTTGGATGTCTAATTGTGCATTGCATTACGATGTTTAATTGATTAATATGCTTGCATTTAATTGCAATACTTGATTAATTGTGTTGTGACATTGCTGTGCTTTGATTGTGTGGAATTGGGATGAAGTGGGTCACCATGGGTTTGTGACGACGGTCGATAAAGCATGGATCCTGATTATGATGAATTATGAAATTGGACCGTCGGCCTGGAAAATGGGAGATTGGCGCCCCCCCGTGTGCACCTGATACCATTATATAGAAACCACAGGATGGCCTCTCGTCGTTGCGCACCTGATAGTCTAGATTTGATCGCAGCCCGCAGGGTGGCCTTCTGTTGTGAGCGCCTGATGATCTGATTATCTAAGATTGGATGGAGACCACCGGGTTGCCTCCTGTTGGGTATGAAGATTAAAAAAAGAGAGAGAAATTAAACAATGAGAGGACTGGTCTGGTGAGGATTAAAGAACCAGTCTGGCCAGGTATGGGAATTGGCCTCCTCGGGTGCACCAACGTTTGAGAGGTGAGGGCCAGGTGGAGAAGGTATCGGCTCGTCGGGGTTTGGTTGACGCTATTGACCAATTCCACGGAATGTGATATGTGTGAAGATGTGTTAATAATTGTAAGTGCTGGTGATATGCCATTTGTGTGACTGGCTGCGTGAGCATATAACTAGTCGGATGACTAGATTGATATATTTATACATTTGCATGAATGCGTGTGTTGTGCAATAAGTATTACTTCCTAGAAGGCTCACATATCTTGTTTAATTTTTCAGGAAGTAAGTTTCTCTTTGATTCGGTTTAAGCTATGTTTCTTCGCTGCAGGGCTATAAAGAAGTTTTCCTAGTTCCATAATTATTTTGCTATGTATCTATATGTATGAGAAGCTGTGTATATCAAACAGTTAGTGACTCCGCAGTTGTAGAATTTACATACATTTAGTCGTGTATTAACATAGACGAAATAATTCTGTGAGCCCAATGAGAGATGTGATTTATATTGTAAATTGGGCCTGAAACTGTGGAATGTTGTAGAAGATAAATTTGGGCCGAGATATAATAAAAATCTTGAGTGTTTATTTTTCATATCATATGGGCTTGAAATGTTGAAATTTATATTGAAGATAATAGATTTCTAGTGTTTTTAGGGCTTACCACGGGCTCGGGGCTTTAAGGGCTTACCTGCGGCCCTAGTTGTCGGTCCGACCACGGAAAACGGGTGTCGATTGACACTTATGTGACCATTATACCTTCTCTTCGCCAAATCAAATCAACTACATATCAAAAATCAGAGTGATATAAATTTTTTCAAATCAAGTGATATAAATTTTTTTATAAAAATTTTAAGCTACAATTTTTTTGTGCATCCGGTTCGAACCGGACTGGAACCGCCAGTTAATTGCCGGTTCCGGTTCATATTTTAACATTCACATGAACCTTAACCGGTCCTTGAACTGCCGGTTCTGGTTCAAAATTATGAATCGCCGGTTTTGGTTCGGTTTTGATTCATTTACCGTGCGGTTTGGTTCCGGTTAGAACCGAACCGGTGGCCATGCCTAGATAAACCCCTTTGCAATGTTTAGTCTCTTAACTCCCTGGTACATCAATTTCTCTTCCAAACCACCACCACAGCCACCGCCTCTCACCTAAATCTGCCCACTATTCAGCTTGCTGGTCAGCCATACGGCGGTGAATTCGTTCCCGGACCTTGTACACACCGCCTGTCACACTATGGGAGCTGGCCATGCCCAAAGTCGTTACCGAGAGCCCTATGATTTGCCATTGTTATCTAAACTTTTTTTTAATACAGGGGATTTATCTGATGGAGATACTGCTCCTGGAGAAGTTGTTGAAAATGAGTCTTCAATGTATGATATCTTGCTAACAACACTGAAATCATGCAACAACACTCCACCTGATGTTTACAAGAAGAGGTCTTGCTAACAACACTGAAATCATGCAACAACACTCCACCTGATGTTTACAAGAAGAGGCAAATGCCCTATTTTGTAGTGTTTTTCTTGTCTAAAGTGCATCTTGTCTTTGTCGCAGTCTAAGCAGTCTAAGTTTAAAAATTTAACAAATATGTATAAATATTTGTAATAGTCAGAAAATTGGGTCTGGCTCAGTTGATATGAATGTGAGAAAAATTGAGGCAAGGGTTTCGAACTTGAAACCTAAGCCATGTCTCCTAGAAGCAAGATAGGCAAGAATGTATGATTTAAACACTGTTTTTTTCCCCTTCTTTTGGACACATTTTAAAAGGTTGAACAGAACAACTGGTATAATATTAATAACCTCCCATGGGCTAGCTTTTTGTTGAATTGAGGATGATTTGTGTTCTTTATTACTAAATAGTTTTGAGAAATTTATGAACAATAAATGAGTATATCCTTTAATTGAAAAATAGAAGAAGAGAAGAAGAAGAAGAAGTAGAAGAAGGAGAAGAAGAAGAAGGTAGGAGTGACTTTAAAGAAGAAGACGACTCTATATCTCCTTGTGTGTCTGAGGAAGAAGATTTTTGTGGAGAAGGTAAAATAAATTTGTGGTTTTTCATAAATCTTAATCTTGAAAAGTCTTATTGGTTTTAATTTGTTATTTTACTCATATATTATACTAGCTTATTGAATATTAATGTTATTGTTATTGTTGCTGTAACTATCATTTCTATTCTGTTGTAATATATTTGTTGAAGGGGGTTGGTCACTAGTCCATATAATCAACTGCAGCTGTTTTTCACTCGATGCAACGTTTCTTATTAGCATTTGTCAATTTTGCATCCCTTATTTTTTATTTATTCTTTCTAAAAAGATCTTATTTGATTTTACTCCAAAGAGATTAAAAGGGACAAATTTCAAACCTAAATAGTATAGAACTCACTTGGCAAATTAGATAAATGATTTAGGATTTTTAGTTTATTTAAGGTTTAAATATAGGAAGTCACTAACTTCTCATTTAAGGTTAAAATTATATGCAATAATCCCAAAGATTCATGAATTTTTCAAAACTTCTGAGAGTTTATCTTCTTCTAATGAAGGATTACTTGCTTGTTTATAGATTAATATAAGAACTTGGACTTCTAAATAGAAAACTGAAAAATATGAGCTTCTAAACCATAAGATAGCTTTGTCAGGTTGTTGCTTAAGCATGGAAGCTAAAGGAAATTGACTGTAACTGACTTCTAGGTGGCTTTTTGTAAGGTGGAAGATTTAGGAATATGTTACAAAGGTAGGGTGTCAATGCAGGATCCTATATCATTGCGCAGCTGACCAACGTCCCTCAAAAGCTTTCCTGGAATTTTAACCTGCAATCTGTCCTATGTCAATCAATGCTTTGCAGGATAGGGAGCTTGCATTCAAGTTGCTTAAGAAGCATTTTTAAAAGCTTGATGGAAATATATAAGCGAGTCCATTAAACTTCATGAGTGAGTTTTTGCCAAGGTCAAACTGTACAGGCAGACTGCCTTAGTCTGCATTTCGTCTCAAATTTATTAATGCTTAATCTGGGTCATTGAAGAATTGATTATGTAGACTAACTCATTTGCTAGCAAGTCATTTGTTACTGAGGAAGAAACCAATCTCACTATCAGATTGGCCTATCTAACTCGCTGGCAATCTAACATTCTCTGCTGCATCTTTTTTTTTTTTTTAATTTTTTTTTTAAAATCTCTGCGCATCTTTTTTTAACCAATCTCACTATCAGATTGGCCTATCTAACTCGCTGGCAATCTAACATTCTCTGCTGCATCTTTTTTTTTTTTTTAATTTTTTTTTTAAAAAGAAATAGAATCATGATATTTCAATAGAGAATAAAGAAGCTACTCATGCTTTGGTGCTGTGGATCTACTCTCAATAAGATGCTTGGGAATTTCAGAAGACAAAAATGTATTCCTAAAATAGAATAAGACTATATAAAGTCTGTCAAAAAAATGTCATGCATTTGGGGCTTATGAAATTGCCATATGCTTAAATGATGCTGTTATTCTACCATTTCGAGGGTTTGTATGGAATAATTAATCAATGGTAGAACGACAGAATGTCATGTTATAATTTGTTAAAAGAATTTATGCACTCTTCTGGACTTTTCTTTTAATTCATTGAATTTGTTCTTCTCTGTTACTCATTTATTCTGTGCATGAAGGATGGATTCTGGTTACACATTTCCAATATAAGTTATATTGCTCTATTTCCAATTGTGGTTTCATTCTGAAATGTCTGCCTTTGGGTTATTTGTGTTGGCTTATAGGAACTGGTAATGAATTCTCAAGAAGTCATGTAATAGAAAGCAAACTGCATGAGACTAGCACAGTTAGCATTGTGGACAATAATGAAGATGCTGAATCAGAGGATGATGTAGAGGAATCTGACACAGATCAAGAGCAAAACTTGGGTGTTGATGCCCAAACTATTGTCAAGGCATCATTGTCTACAAGGTACCCTTTGATGATTTTGCTCTTAATGTGTTCTTTTATTGTTTAATTTTTATTTCAATCATGTCTTGAGATTGATATTGTAGATATGTTAGAAATTCACACATCACAATATTGAAAGGTGATTTACTTCTCTGCGGAGATAAATTATCATCTTAGATGAACATAAATGCCTATCTTGCATTGTATAGATCTGGTGTGCAGCTTTGCTATCCAGGCGAATTTCCCCTCTAGGAGAAGGCAGAATAACCCAGAACTTTGAGAGTTGATTCTAGAATCCCAAGCAAAGGAAAATGGGTCTCACCATAGTAGATATTGCTTTCTCAACTTGGAGAACCTTTGATCTTATCACTTGTGTATTCTTACATAAATTCAAGGTTTTTCAAAGCGAACCTTTTGGGAACCATGGACTGTTCTGTGATTGGTATTTATCATTTAAGAATCATTTCCAGAGTGTTTGGAAAACTTTTGTTTATTTTTCTCACTCTCTCTCCTCTGGAGTCTGTGAGAGCTGGCATCCTTGAACTCCAACAGTACAAAAATTGTGATGGGGTAAAAAAATATTAGTTTGTCATTTGCATGTGCGAGACTAGTGGGGGAGTGGTTATTCATTTTCCATTTCATGGATATGTTGCACTAGAACTATAATAATCAATTATATTGTCTTTAGTTAGAATTGAGTGAACATGTTAAAATCTGTACTTTTGGTTTTCATAACTGCATCAGGTAGAGGGACAGGCCAATAAGGAGGGATGGCAGTTCCATTGTGGGTTTAAGTTAGAGAGGAACCAATATGCATTCATGTCGATGTATGATTCTGCAAGGGGGTAAACATGATTTTGTTGAGATGTAAATAAGGACAAATTCAAGGTCCACTACCTGTTTATTTATTCCATCATTTTGTTTGACATGTAAAATACCTCTTTAAAGTAGAATTATTTTGATTGTATTTCTTGCATATTTGCTTTTGTCTTTGGTTATTATGAATTAAAATAGTGCACAGTTTTCTTGCGTAATGTAGAGTAATGTGTATTCTTTATGCAGTTCTTTTCATGAACACTTGAGCTACAAGTTATCAGAAGAAGAGGTTGATAACCTATCAAACAAAAAATGGGAATACAAATGGGATGTGCCTGCATAATACAAATGGGATGTGCCTGCATTTGACATGCCAAATTGCAAGTGGGAAGGGACAGGGAAGTGTTTTCTAAAGGTATTCTCCATGTATCTATCTTATATATCTTTTTTGCTTAGATATGGATTCTGAGGTCTTCTGTCTTTGTTTAAACTTTCAAAGAATGCCTTTGTAAATATTTATTTCCTGAGAATCAGGAAGTGATTAGCCAAAAAGGAAGTGGAATGTTACAATTTAGCATGCGAAATCTCCTCTCTCTCTCTCTCTCTCTCTCGCTTAACCCACATCATAACTCTTGTTGAAGTCTGTTAAATAGAGTTCACATGATTATGCTGAAATTAGGATAGTCCAAGAAATCTCGTGCATTGCAAGTTAAGCCATGGGAAATGCAAGATAATCCAAAGTTCATGTTAGTTGGGGGTCTCCCTAAAAAACCTTGTCCAGTGTTTTCATTTTGGAGCTGGCTTTATAGATATTGCAATTTTTTAATTGGCAAATGTTCATTTATTTCATTATTTTTTCATGTTCATGTTTTGTTTATTTATTTTTATGCAGGATGATAATACCACACCTAATTATGGTCTCAAGCAAAGATTGTATAAGCACTAATTATGGTCTCAAGCAAAGATTGTATAAGCACTGGCTGGATGCTTACAAGACATCTGGAGGCAATGATTTTCATTCATCAAAGCAGAGATTTTTCTTTTCTCTCTGTAAGTTTATATATTTATATATATCGGTGCTTGTAGTATGTCTGTTTTAATTATAAAATTTTTGGAAAGCAGCCATTTTTTTATTAAAGAAAATTTTGGAAAACGTCCCCAACTTGTTTTCCAATGTCTTCTTTAAATTCGGAAACTTAGAAAACTGTTTTCTACCTTTTATTTTAGAACATTGTACAGCATGAACATGATCTCGATTTCTCATTCTCTGCAGAATTTTTTTTTGAAAGCACTCATTATTTCTGTAAGTAAAAAATCCCTTAGAATTTAGGGCTTCTTTGACTGGTTAAAGGATTAACAAAGAAAAGGATAGAATTGGCCCTTGCTCTAGATTCCTACACATCACACTGTCCTTTTGGATATCCCACTTTAGAGAAGGGGCACATCTTACCCAAAATGGTGTTGCATCTAACTCCATATGTCATAGGATGGAAACTTCATTAATTTTTTATTCCTCTCAGGATATTATTTTTAAAATGGACTTTTAATTTTTTATTCCTCTCAGGATATTATTTTTAAAATGGACTTCCCAAACTTGGAGACCATCTTGGTGGTGTGGCAAAGACTAAGGTGCTTGCCTAGAAGTACTTTTGTAGTGGGCAATCTTGCGTAATTTATTCTTTAGAGTTCTGATTAATGATTGGGAGTTTATTGTTAGGAAATTAAGCCATAGAAAAAGTCAAATAAAGAAATTAGAGGCTAGTGGGAGTTGCAAACAGTATCAAGAGATACTGTGGCAACAGGGCAAAGAAGATAAAAAGAGGAAGAGGGAAAGAGAAACTGGATGCTTGGGCCTCAACCAAATTAAAATAGTCAAAGCTCCATTATCCAAAGCCAAAAAGAAAAAAGGAAAAACTAGTTACATCCATATTTATAGACTAAATAATGAATCCTACCGCCACTAGGATTATGAATTCCAAACCTAGAAGATTGTAATCAATAATAAATCAGAAGAAAGTAACTTATCGCATATTCCATATGAGAATAACTTTTCCTCTATTGTTATGAATAAGATGGAATGGTGTAAATTTAATGGGGAAAAATATTTTCTTATGTTTGATTCATCAATAGGGACACATATATATACACATACAAGATACTATAAACCTATTAGAAATCTAACTCCTAATAGAGTTGAAATTACTAAAACTCCTAATAGAGTTCTATTTACAACTCCTAATAGAGTTCTATTTTACAACTAATCCTTAACACTCTCCCTCAAGTTGAGCAATAGATATCAATCGATGCCCAAGCTTGTTCACAAGATAGTTAACCTTGAGCGTCCATTTTAGAGCTTTTATAAAGAATATCTCCTAAGCTTGTTTTTAGATGTTCCTGTAGAGATAACGACCATTGTGTGTATCTTTTTCATGAATGAAATGACAATTAATCTCCATATGTTTGTTCGTTCATGGAATACTGGATTTTTGATGCAATGTGAAGAGCAGCTTGATTATTACCTCAAAGGAAGTATGTCCTTGACTTACTGAAGGAAACTAGAAAGTTGGGTGCCAAGCCATGCAGTGCTCCAATGACTCCTAATTTGCAACTTTCCATTGATGGTGAGCTATTTGATGATCCTAAGATATATAGAAGATTAGTGGGCAAATTGAATTATCTTACAGTAACACGACCAGATATTGCTTACTCTGTGAGCTTCTTAAGCCAATTTATGTCGTCTCCTACTGTTATCCATTGGAAAGGTTGAAAGGTAATCTAGGTCGTGGCCTGCTTTACAGTAATCATGGGCATTTGGACATTGAGTGTTTTTCAAATGCGGATTGGGCAGGTTCGAAGGTTGATAGGTTCGAAGGTTGATAGAAGATCAACTTCAGGATATTGGGGAACCATAACCCACAGGTCCCTGGATCGGAACCAGGCTCTGATACCATGTAAATTTAATGGGAAAAATATTTTCTTATGTTTGATTCATCAATAGGGACACATATATATACATATATAAGATACTATAAACCTATTAGAAATCTAAATCCTAATAGAGTTCTATTTACAACTCCTAATAGAGTTCTATTTACAACTAATCCTTAACAAATGGAAACAAATGACTCATATAGCTGAACCCAACTGGTTTGGATTAGGACTTAGTTGTCATTGTTATTGTAAATCATAGTTGGATTTCTAACTCAAGACTTGAACATGCATAGATGATAGATCATAGTGAAATCCTAATTCATGTAGGCAAATATCTGTATGTCAAGCTTCTATTGTTAGACCAACACAATTGTGTTTTACTCATCATCCAAATGATACATGCTATACCATTGCATTGTAATACATGTAACAACTAAAATTTTCCAAGTTCACTCAGACAATTTTCACTATACCTATGATGTAATCTATTACTCTTCCTATCAATCATATCCAATCCCATAATGTGCACAACATCCATACAAAAGCACAAAACGTTGCAACATATTACCAGGTATTACTCTTCCTATCAATCATATCCAATCCCATAATGTGCACAACATCCATACAAAAGCACAAAACGTTGCAACATATTACCAGGTTTTGGATTAAATATAATATTAAGGGTGATTTTGTCTCACAAAAGTTAGAAACAGAAATCAGCAAATCAAGAAGCCACTTCTAAAATATTGTACTGTGAAGCTGCTACTTTGTTTTTGTTTGTCTGTTGGAACTCTGCTTACTTCTGGTGCATTTGTAGCTGCCTCATTAGCTTGCTTTGTGGCCTTTGCTCACAGTGAAGAGAATTATGATCCGACTTTACTACGTCTTGATTGCTTGTATACATTTGTGGTTAAGTGAGTAAATTGTGCCTTTTTTTACTAGGTAACAGTTACAGGGATATACTGCATTCCAATAAGAAACCATTTTATCTCAAAGGCCATCAAGAAGACTCAAGTATCTTGGATGCTTATATTATGCATTCTGTAAGTGTTCATGCCCTTTGATTCAATGTGGAATTTCTTTCTGATGAATCTGAATGTCTTTTACTCTCATATACTGAATAAAATGAAAAATCATGCAGTTGAATCACATATTCAGGACTAGAGATCTTATAAAAAAGAATGATTTGAAAGTGGCCAAACATCAAGAGGGTGCTGATGATAAATTACTGACTGTTGATGGTCTCCGTGATCATGGGTTTACTCGTCCAAAGGTACAGCTTAACTATTTCCTCCGACTGCCTGCTAAGCTAAGTGAGGTTTCTCATAGTATTTTAAAGCTTTTCCGTTGCAATATCAGGTTTCTCGACTACCATTGATTAACCATTTGCATATACAAGCCATATATATTCACATATTTGCATATTATTTCAATCTCACGGGCCCTTATTATTTCTTTTCTGTTTAGTTTATTGTTTCTGCAAATTTATTTGGAATTTTGATATTCTCGATTTAATGGTTGGATAGTGTTATGGAACTTTTAGTTTTCATTTTTTTATTGGTTGATTTATTTTTGATAAGAAAGTGAGTTAATAACTTTCAAGTCACTGTGCACTGCGGGAGTGCAATATGAAAAGGAAATATTTTTCTTCACGGAAATTTTAAAGAATTCTAAAGCTAGACTTCTTGTATCTGCTACTAATCATATATTTGGATGTGAATACAGAATGCATACACCCCTTTGTGGGAAGACATCTGGAAGTGCAGACCATATACTTATATTCTGTTGTATTAACTGTTTGATATTTTCTCAAATATGGTTATATTCATATTATTTTACATCTGTTGCACTTCTTTGTGGTTCTCTTTGGCCTGTCCTGAAAATAGCTGAGTTATAGGATTAAGAACCAGAAAGTCAGCAGCTTCTAGGAACACTTAGCCTTGGATCAGCCATTGATAATTTTAATTAATGATTTACCATTTGATGTTCTTCCATGAAATAATTTTTCTCACCCTAGTTGCTTAAATGAAGAAATGCATCATCTATCAAAAAGAATTAAATGCTTGAACTTTGTCCTCCTGTTTTCTTGTCAGCTGTCACTCTTTCTTAAATCAGAATACTTGCATCATTATAAGTTGGAGGAGTAAAAGTTTCGAATTTTCTAGTATAGCGGACACTAATTAGTTGTTGTTGCCTATTTTATACATTGTTCTATTTATTAATATATCAAATATTCTTTTTCTACAAAAAGTATTTCAAAAATTTTATTTATTAATATATCAAATGATTTTAAAATTCCCCTTCAAAAATTCTTTTTCTACAAAAAGTATTTCAAAAATTTTCCTGACTTATACTTCCGTTGCATTGATATTAATTTGATCAAAGCGGATCGGAAACAAAGGATTCATATAACTGACCCTAAATAGTTTGCGACTAAGACTTGGTTGTTGTTGTTGTTGTATTGTTCACATTACTAAAGCATGTTATTATTCATGGTACTTGAGCTGTTCCATATGTTGAGTTTATTACATCTTTTCTGTTATTGAGGTCAAAACCTGATTCTATTGAAGCATGTTATTATTCATGGTGATTGAGTTCCATATTTTGGGTTTATTACATCTTTTCTGTTATCTGTTATTGAGGTCAAAACCTGAGTCTATCGGATTGTTTGCCTTTTCTGGTTGCGTAACTGTAACTAGAGGTGTCAACCTATTTGGTTGATGTTTTAGTCCCTCTATTCTCTATTTTCAATATTATATGTGTACTCAGTAAAACTTATTTAATGCTGAATTACAGGTTTTGATCCTTTTGCCATTCAGGAGTATAGCACATCGGTTTGTTAGGAGGCTAATACAACTAACACCTCAAAGTTACAAGGTATTACTTTTGTTTTGTATTTGTGATGAGTTCTCAAACTACGTCTATTACCAGCTTGGTTTGAAGTTGAAAACACTTTATTTTCACTCATAAGGGGCCTATTTACATTTCATATGAGTGTTCTCTGTTGGATTAATAAGTTTGAGTCATTAAACACTCATGATTTTTCTTTGCATTATCTGATTCAGGGGTCTGCTGAGATTGGATGTATTTCAATTTTATACTGCAATACCTTCTTTTTTTTCTTGTTTTTTGACACTTAAACTGGAATAAGTTTCCTCATCATCTTGCTTGTTTCCCTTACATGGGAGAATTACTAAATGTTATGCATTTGGGCCCTTATAAGGGGCCACAATTGTGGACTTGACATCATACCCAACCTGAAACCTGGCATTGGGTATTCAGGTTTATGTGGCTTTTCCACCTATATCTCCCTCACTCTGTCCTTCCAATGCAGAGCTTTTTCCTACCATATTTGGACTTGTTATTCCGACACTACGTACATAGACAAGCTATTTCAAGAAGCTCTTCTTTCTGTTGAAATTTCTGATACCCGTGGTCTGTCCTTTTCTTTTCGTTTTGCTTAAATTTTCTGCAGATCAATCTGTTCACTACATCTGGTTCTACACTGGATTTGCTTAATAGTTTATTCAGTTTGTATGCTGTAAAACTATTCCGTGTTGATATGTTTTCTATTTTGGTATGATATCCTTTGTTGTTAGATTTGTTTTTTTAAGGATTATGGCTGTCACTTACTCTGTTCTCTCTCTCTCTCTCTCTCTCTCTCTCTCTCGATTCTCTTCTCTCTCTCTCTCTCTCTCTCTCCTCTCCTCTCTCTCTCTCTCTCTCTCTCTCTCTCCTCTCTCTTCTCTCTCTCTCTCTCTCTCTCTCGCTGTCATTGATATGTTTTGGATGTTTCTGAGAAGTGTTGGGGGATGGTGGAAATAAGACTTAGTTGGGTTGACTCAAGTTTTCATAAAATGAATATTGATATAGTTCCCTATCCAATATTCTAAATGCCTTTGCTTAATTGGGGTTCAGCATGATCATTAGGGATGTAAAACCATGTTTGTTCTTTATGCTTGCATGTGTCATAAAATTTGTGGAAACTACAATTTAATTAGCAATAGTGCTTCAGTTGCTTGCTAACGCACTGGAATTCACATTGCTGAATGGTGTATACAAGGTTTACTCGAGTGGTAACTATTCATAGTAATTAAAGGCGCAAGGTGCGCTAAGGCACAAAGGGCTGCTGGAGCCTAGGCGCTAGCCTCAGTGAGGTGAGGCGTAAAAATAAAAAAATATTAAAAAATATATAATAACTTCAAAAAATTGGAAAAAAAAATTCATCAATAATATAAAATATATATTGATATAATTGTAAGTTCCAATTTTGATTTTTGTAAAAATATTATGAGTTTAGGATTTAATTGTGATTCTTGAATCTGTTTTGAATTGTGATTCTTGAATCTGTTTTGAATATAGTTGTAACTACATTAGCTGCAGCATGGGATCTATATAAAAAGTTGTATAGCCTCTTCTCTTTCTTCTTTATTTTCCCTATCTTCCATAATTATCTCTTTCTTCTCTACTCTTTCTTTTCTCTAATTTTCTACCCTCTTCTTAATGTAGAAGAATGTGGAAAATTATTGTTGTATTGTTTTCATCAATAGGGTCACATATATATACATATACAACATACTATAAACCTATTAGGAATCTAACTCCTAACAGAACTCTATTTACAACTAGTCCTTAATAGTTCCTTAAACATCCCCCTCAGTTGGAGCATAGATGTTAATCATGCCCAACTTGTTTACACATGATAGTTAAGTCGAGGTTCCATTTTAGAGGCTTTTGTTAAAGATGATCTCCTAACTTGGGTGTCAAAACGTGTTGGGTCTCTCTCAACATTGCCCTGTTGAGAATAACACCCTAATTGTACTTCTTTTTTCACGTAATGTATCTTTTCACGAATGAAATGACAATCAATCTCGATATGTTTTGTTCGTTCATGGAATACTGGATTTGATGCAATGTGAAGAGTAGCTTGATTATACATCATAACTTTGCAGGCAAGGACGACTGGAAGCCAGTTTCCTCTAAGAATTGACGAATCCAAATTGTCTCACAAGTAGATTGCGCCATAGCTAGATATTCTGATTCAGCACTCGATCGTGAGACTACGTTTTGTTTCTTGCTCCTCCACGATATCAAGTTTCCACCCACAAAGACACAATATCTTGAAGTTGATCTTCTATCAACCTTCGAACCTGCCCAATCATTATCCGAAAAACACTCAATGTCCAAATGCCCATGATTACTGTAAAGGAGGCCATGACCTGGATTGATTGCCCAATGATTACTGTGCCCATGATTACTGTAAAGGAGGCCACGACTTGGATTACCTTTCAAGTAGCACAAAATTTGTCCTAAAGCTTCCCAATGAATAACAGTAGGAGAAGATATAAACTGGTTTAAGACGCTTACAGATTAAGCAATATCTGGACGTGTTACCGTAAGATAATTCAGTTTGCCCACCAATCTTTTATATATCTCAGGATCATCAAATAGCTTACCACCAATTGGAAGTTGCAAATTAGGAGTCATTGGAGTACTGCATGGCTTGACACCCAACTTTCTAGTTTCCTTTAGTAAGTCAAGGACATACTTTCTTTGAGATAAAAAGATGCCTCTCTTACACCTAAATACTTCTATACCCAACAAATACTTCAACAATCCTAAGTCTTTTGTCTAGAACTGAGTCTGGAGGAATGACTTGAGTGATTTAATGCCTGCAAAATCACTCCCTGTAATAACAATGTCATCAACATAAACCACATGTAGAATCAAACCAGTGTTAGTACTTCTGAAAAATACAGAATGATCAGAAGTACTCTTCTGCATGCCAAATTGGTGAACCACATTGCAAAATCTACCAAGGTGAACCACATTGCAAAATCTACCAAACCAAGCTCGAGGACTCTGTTTTAGGCCAGAAAGAGATTTTCGAAGTTTACACACTTTACCCAACTCCCCCTGAGCAACAAAGCCTGGTGGTTGCTCCATGTAAACTTCCTCCTGAAGATCCCCATGTTCCTCCTGAAGATCCCCATGGAAGAAAGACATTCTTAAACATCCTGATGTAAAGGCCAGTCAAAAGTAGCTGCTAAAGAAATAAACAAGCGAACAAAAGACAATTTGGCCACAGGAGAAAAAGTATCAGAGTAATCAAGGCCATAAATCTGAGAATAGCCCTTAGCAACTAATCAAGCCTTAAGACGGGCAACAGATCCATCAGGATTCATTTTAACTTTGACCATTTACAACCAATAGCTTTCTTACCTGTCGGGAGAGGCACAAGATCCCAAGAACCATTAGTATCTAAGGCAGTCATATCCTCTTTCATTGCTGCACACCAACCAGGATGGGACAAAGCTTGGACAACAGTTTTAGGGATAGAGACAGAGTCTAGGTTACTTACAAAACGACGAGATGAAGGAGAAAGATGATCATAACTAACAAAAGAAGAAATAGGATAGGTACACGTGCGTTTACCTTTTCGAAGAGCAATGGGAAGGTCAAGGTCTCGAAAGAGCAAAGAAGAGCAATGGGAAGGTCAAGGTCTGACGGAGCAGTGGATGGCACAGGCTTAGGTTGAGTGGAGGGAACCGGATCTTCTGTTGAAGCGGTAGATAGGGTAAGTGAGTCAAGAGTTCCTGGTCTCTTGGAATAGACCTGTTCAAAACGAGGGTGGACAGATGCTGGTGCAGGAGGGGGAATAGGAGGGTCAGACGCTGTAGCGGGAGCAGTGCAAGTTCGGGAACAGGAACAAGAGTAGGAGCAGGAGAGCTAGGAAATTGCTGGATAGCGTAGACTAAAAGCTCATCATCCTCCCCCTCACTTTTATATATAGGAGAAGGAAAAAATGGAGTATTCTCAAAAAATGTTATATCGACAGAAATAAGATAATGGTCAAGATCGGGAGAGAAACAATGATATCCCTTTTGATGCCGAGAATACCCAAGGAAAATACAACGAAGGGATTTTGGATCTAAGGGATTTTTGGATCTATTTTGAACCATTTGGACGAACATCACGACAAGAACAAGTAACACACCAAAAATACAAGGTTCAATAGGGGAATAAAAGTTTAGAAAGGAAACAAGAACCAACTATAAGGAAATATAGAGCAACCATTAAGCACAGAAGAAAGGCATGCGATTAATTGCACCATTAAGCACAGAAGAAGGCATGCGATTAATCAAAAAACATGCAGTAGAGACAGCATTCGCCCAAAAATGTTTAGGGACCTTCACTTGAAATAGGAGTGCCCTAGCAACCTCAAAAAGATGTCGATTTTTTCTTTTTGCAACCCCATTCTAAGAAGGAGTATCAACACAAGATGTTTGATGCAGAATACCATTCTGTGACATATAAGATTGGAAGGAACTAGATAGATATTCTTTAGCATTGTCACTTTGCAATGTGTGAACAGAGGTATTAAATTGATTTTTTAATCTCAGCACAAAAGGAACAGAAAATAGAGAACATCTCAAAACGATTTTTCATTAAAAATAACCAAGTAACACGAGAATAATCATCCACAAAAGTTACGAAATATCGAAAGCCAATTTTAGAAATAACAGGAAATGGACCCCAAACATCAGAATGAACTAACTCAAAAGGGGATGAAGCCCGTTTATTGACTCGAGGAACTAAAGGTAAAAGGCTAAACGATGATGTTTTGGCAAATTGACAAGATTCACATTCTAGTAAATCGATAACATGACTGAAATTGACAAGATTCACATTCTAAAATCGATAAAGACTGAAACTGCGGACACAACTTCTTTAAAGTAGTCAATGAAGGATGACCCAAACGACAATGAACCTCGAGAGGAGAGAGAGCACCAACACAAGCCAAATCATGACGACTACTCCACCGGGGACTTTCGAATCGAAACCTGTCATCACTGATGTGGTGCCATTACTGAATAAAATAACGGAATACAAACTTACCGGCTCCAATTTTTTGGCATGGAGTAAAACAGTTCGTATATATTTTCGTAGTTTGGATAAGGATGGCCACTTGACCAATGATCCACCTGAAGGAGTTGCTAGGCAAATCTGGCTTAGAGAGGATGATCGATTATTTTTACAGTTTCGGAATTCGATTGACACTGAGGTAATTGGTTTAATTAATCATTGTGAGTTTGTTAAGGAACTGATGGATTATCTTGAATTTTTGTACTCTGGAAAATGTAATCTTTCTCGTATGTATGAGGTCTGCAAAGGATTTTATCGGGCCGACCAGCAAGATAAGCCCCTCACAACTTATTTCATGGAATTTAAGAAGATTTACGAGGAACTTAATGTTTTATTGCCATTTAGCCCCGATATTAAGGTTCAACAGACTCGGCGAGAACAAATGGCTGTAATGAGTTTTCTTGCAGGTCTTGCTCCGACTTTTGAAACTGCCAAATCACAGGTTCTTTCAGTCCGACTTTGAAACTGCCAAATCACAAGTTCTTTTTTCAGGCAGTGACTGTTACCTCTCTTCAGGAGACTTTTGCTAGATTACTATGTTACTGAAGGTTCCATACCCCTTCCCCTTATGATAATAAGTGCCCTTGTGAAGGTCGTAATCAAATAGGTTAGGACGCCAGGAAAACAGAGGAAGAAGGTTTAGGACATAACCGTAGTAAATGGACAATTAATCAGGAGGCAAGCATTCTTATCTGCGCGTTATTGCACTATGAAACCTGGGTCACACTAAACGGTGTTTGTTGTAGAGACTACTAATAAGCCCCCAAGGGCAAAAAATAAGCCCCCAAGGGCAAATATGGCCACTCAGGATTCTGCAGTTACTTCTTCGGAGAACATTGTAGCAATTTCTGCTGCGGAGTATGCTGAGCTCTCTAGATACCGTTCTTCTAAGTCTACTGATTCCTCAATTGCTGCTGCTGCCAATCATAGCAGAATAGCAAATAGGCAGCAGCGCAATATAAATTCACAAATTCAGACTGTACCCGGCAAGGTGACAGCAAAGGTGCAGCATAAAAAACACCACAAAAGTCAAAGAGGGCCGACGCAACACACTGGGTTGCACTGTACTGGCAGAATCGATGCTGGAAACTGAGAGCCGGTGACAAGAGATGGCCGGACGCGCCCGCATGCGCTGGCGGGTGAAGAAGGGCAAAAAACTTTGAGTGGCGTGTGAAGCCCAATCGTGAAGATTCCACTATAATCTAAACATAGCGCCTCTAACTTTTCTTTCTCCAGTAAAATAGCTTGTTTGACATAAAAAAAAAAAAATACAAATTACATAGTTCAAAAACATACTAGGGAAAAAAATATAACCAGTTCCTGTCCTTTTCTTCCTTGAATAGCAACATCACAAGAACAAAAATGGCACCCAAGAGACAAATTACATGATTATTTCCTCCCTTATTTTGCATAGAAAAGTGCCATATACAAAGTCAATCATCCACCAAAATAGAAAAAAACACCTAAAAGATTGAAAAGGCCCCAAAAACATTGCAGACCCATATACTTTTTTTGGCAATTTAGTAAAAAAAGAAAAGCTGAGTATGGAAACACAAAAATGTCACTCGTATTTACTATTTGTATTGTTGCTAGTATTGCATGTATCAGGTATGAGAGCCTCTCTTCTTCATCAGATTGATAGTGTAGAGGATCTATTTTATCTCCGTCTCTCTCACTCTCTCTCTCTAACAGTCACTGTATACCTCAAAAACCCAAGTATGGAAAAGAACTTGAATAAGGGTCCTCTGGTCTTTATCTTAGATGCCAAGCTCAAGAAAGAGAAAAAGAACTCAAAACTCAAAACCCACAGATAGAAAGAGGTGTTTTTAGAGAGAAAAAGAGTATTGTGTGTTAAAGAACAACAAAACAAAATAAACACAAAACAACCAATGATAAATGAAAAGCCGATTGGATTATTATTATTGAAAGTAGGGTTGTAATTTGGATGGTATGGAATGGAATGACTTTCATTCCAATTCGGTTCCAAAATATTTTGAAATTTGAAATTGCAATTCATTCTACTCCAAATGTTTTTTGGAATTTAAAATTTTATTTCATATCATTCCATTGAAATTCAGTTTAAAATTCGGTAGTTTTAAATTTTTTAACCATAAATACAAAAGATATCTTAATAATTTATAATAATAATAATAATAATAATAATAATAATATAAAATCAACAAAAGATAATACGATTCGTACTAGGATGTATCAACATATGTAGTCACCAAATCAATTAAAAAGTGAAAGATATCTTTTAAATAATTTATAATAATCAAATGAATAATAGAATCAATCAGATGATCATAAATAGTAAAATCAGACAAAAGCGTGCCGATGATACTACCTGGCATTCGTGACTAAGGGAAATGTCTATGTCTAACATAGTTGTAGTGCACCGTAAATCAATTTAAAAGTGCGTATGAGAATTCAACAATATAGGTAATATATATAGCTATAGTAGTATATATATAGATTAAATAACTGTGAACTAAAATAGGCTATGATTAATTGGGTTTATAATGAATACTTATATAAATTCATTAAGGTTAATGATTTTATCTTTCAAGAATTAACATAGCAAGTTTTAACACAATATTTCTGATGTGGAAGATCCAAACTAGAGCTGGCATCCCTACAAGAGCATACTTAGTGACAATATTTAATCAACCAATTTAGCACAAAGGTTTTAACGGGTTCCTGCAACCCTTAACTTGGGAATCCCAGAATTAAGTCAGATTGTGGAGGGAGAAAGGAGAAAGTGTTGGCCGTAAACACACGGACTTATGATTCCGTAGACAGTTTTTCGTAGCAAGTTTACAGAATAAAATACACAACTTTAATTATATTTAGCCAAATATAAATACAGATTTTAAAAAACTTACAAGAGTTTATAGCAGTTTAGACTTTTCCTCCAACTTGATACTCTGTTACAGCTAGGAACTAAGGAGCGAAGAAGGAGGATGGGGATTTATGGTTGATAGCACTAAAATTAAAACTTATGCTTTCAGCAAGGGGAGAGGCCTTCCCCTTTAATAACGAAAAAACAAAGAATCTTCTTTCCTGTAGACTGTTTATTATTTTTACTTGTTGAATATGGCACATTACCTGCTCTGTTTACCGACGGGGAATTTTACCTGTAGAAGAAATAATGCCTTTGTTGGCCGTTGGGAGCTTGCGCCTTTACTGTAGAGACAACCCGTGAAGGACAATAAGGTCCTTTCTGCCTTTTAAATCCGGATGAGGACCGAAGTGTCCTCCTTTTTTCTTCTTTTCTTTTCTTTTCACTTTGCTTTTTTGTTTTAACTTTGCTTTTTCCTTTTTCGTTTTTTGTCCAGGTTTTCTTTTTTGTCAGTTTTACTTTTTACTATTATTGATTGAAGAATATCATCATTGCTATCTTTACTTGAAACAAGGGAAGATGATGATATTGACGAAGATGAGGACGCCATGTCTGCCCATTTGGCTTTGCCTTTAAGACTGGGTTTGGATGACGATTTATCTGAAGAGACTGCTGGCGGTTTGCTTGATGAGGGTTTTATTGGAGAATCTGAACCTGTGGAAAGCTGCTGGAAAATTTCCTGGCAAATTCTTTTATACTCATCAGGTGTTTTAGCCGCTGCTAACCTGGCTTGACACTGTGCTTTTTGGATTCCAAATGTAGGTTTGGATGCCAAATGTAGGTTGATCCTTTAAAGCAAGAGTTGTAGCATAGGTTAATGCAGGTGTACCAGAAAGTTTAGTTCTAATCCATTGGTCGATTTTAAGTTCAGTGGTAGAGTTCTTAAATGATCCCCACCATTTAATCTTGTGTCGTTTTATCAACATAGGAATTTGAGTTCCTATGGCATACTGAGTGTCCAAATACCATTGATATACCCAAGGCGTAGATATAGCCCAGGGCCGTAAAATGAGGCCATACCATATTGTACATTAAGGATGGAAATATGGGCTTCTTCAAGGTCTGAGTTTTAATAATGGGTGCTTTAAAGTAACTGAATATGAAAGAGATGAGAGGGAGGAGGGAGAATATCATTGGATAAAAACCCCTTGTTTGCCACCATTTTTTATTAAAACCAGTTTGGAAATCTTTAAATCAGTTACGAAAAAGACTGATCAATAAATTAACGCACGAATGAGTAGCAGTGGGATTTTGAATATGGAGAAAACTTTTTCCCATGCTTCTTAATAGTCAAAATAATTATAAGTAGTACGTAATGCACATGCTTATAAGTAAACTTTGAATTTTACTAGGAGTAATAAGAGGCATGGAGCAAGGGGCCAATCTTTTTAGGATGAATGACTCTTTGGATTTTTTATGGAAAGAGTTACAAAAATAATAGCACTGTTATTTTTAGGATCAAAATTATTGTTTAATTTTTACAGAGTAAGATGGATCAAGATCTACAAGTAAGATATTATGAAATAAGTATTCCCTGAGGTTTTTGAAAGAGTCATTTTGGCAGTAAAATACCAATCCTCAGGGTTAAATAATGTTTTAAAATTGACGCCAAAGGGATATAATTTATTATTATACGGCCCATGCCTGACCGATCTCAATATTCATAATCAAAAATATTTTTAACAAACCATTTATGGTATACTACTTGAGGAGTACTCACTGGATTTTTTGGCCAATCCACAGGCATACAACGGATTTCGATAAGTCTTTACTGTCTACCGGTTTTGTCTTTACTGTCTACCGTTTGAGACAGACTAGCCGTACCATGAACGGGTACGATCGTTTTAAGTTTAGAAGACATACCTGCATCCTCTGTGGAAGAAAATGCTATACCTTGCAACGCCTTTAAAACTTCAGGAGATTGACTAAGTTGTTCAATCCATTTTTGAAGATCTTTAGAGGTTTTAGTGTTTAAGGCTAGGGTTTTAGTGAGGTCTTCAGAATGCTCAGAAAGAGCTTTAGTGGGTGAGTCGAATTCTTCTTTAATGGCTTTTCCCTTATCCTTTTTCTTGCCCATTGTTCTGTAAGAATTCACGAGTAAGAAAGTCTGGAATATTGTTTTTATTATCAGGAATGAATTCAATATCAAAATAAAAAATACTTAATAATGCTTGCCATCGTGCAAAAATTTGTTTAGAGGCAAGATTTTGAACATCTTTTTGTAAAACTTTTGAACAATTCCTATTTTTTGTAAAACATCTTTAGCAGATTTTGCAGTCGATACGTAATAAAAGAATTTTTGATTTAAAGAAGATAGATTGGAATTTTGTTTATACAAATGAAACTATATCTAAAATTTCCTTTTTTAATAGGTCAGAATAAATTAAGCAACTGTGAGCGGAACGGACTGTGAGGTCCTAATGGTCTGCAAGTATATTGGATTATACGCTCTTTATTATCAATGTTGTTGGGCTGTTTAAAAATTTCCACCATATCCCCTATATCCTGGAAGCATCAGTTTTCAACAATTTTTAAATGCTGTAAGGATTAGGGAATATATAGAATTTATGGTGATAGGGCTTTAGTCTTTCTTACTAATAGAATTTTATGTTTTGAACTAATTGAATGTATAGCTTTATATTGCGCGTCCAGAGGCATGAGGATTTTTTACATAAAACTTAATTCATGCAATTGGTTTTTATCATGCGCAGATTTAAGATTTAGGATAAAATGCAATGACATAATTTAAAACCAGACAAGAAACCTTGTAATTGGCAGTTTATTTGAGGATAATCATATCAATATAGGAAAATTATTCATCCAAAATAGCCAGGGTTCTTTTCTATGGGGTTATTTGAAAGTTTACCTTGCTCCATTATAATAGACGCAGGCAAAAATCGCTGATTTTAGTTTTAAAACAAGTCCTTTTTTAGTTTTTACTTAAGGCGCAAAACCATTTGCCGAATTAACCCATACATAAATTGTTTTTAAAGTGTGTGAAAGTTTCATGAAGAGTTTGTATTGAAAAATACAGTACAATGCATTAAATGATTTATACAATACAAAAATTTAATAGAGCATAAGGAATTAAAAATAATCTATTCAGAAATCTCATTTGGAATGTACAGAAGGAAGCATGTTTTTAGTTCCAAAAGGCATGTAACATTCCCATTCATATTGAGCCGAAAATGGAACTGTAAATGCGAGTTTGTTTATGTAATCTGAATACACTTAGGATCAATTATTGGAATATCTCCAATGTCATCCCTCAGATATTTCATATCAAATTTTACTGGAAATATTTGGCCTTTAATAGATACCATTTTTGTAGAAGATTAACTTATTTGATTGGGGAATTGGGGATGTATCTTTATCCATTTTAAAGCTGGTAATTAATGGTTTATAATTTATTAGCTAATAGGGACTAGAAACACACCGGGAGGTCGTCCTATCGTGCAGGCATGTTTTATATTGAACATACGAAAAGCACTAGCACAAGACCGATGGGCGCTTTCTAGATTTAGACATTAATTTTTTATTGGACGTAAATTCCTCGAATTTCATTTTTACAATGCTGTCTAGCATCATTCAGGGATTCATCTGAAGTTGGTCCTATGCTTTTTAAGTTTTAATAGTTTTTTCATCCAAAATCTTTTTTCATATCGGTAAATCTACCTATGTGTTGTGTTTACGATCGCCCAAAAAGCATGTGGGAATGATCCGGCACACATAATCATCGCCTTTCCATAGAAATTCTTTTAATGTTAGTGATTTTGTATTGGTATTCTCTTCCAGTCTCTAATTGGTTGTTGTAATCTTTGTTTAAAACACATATTATTTCTTGCATCTTTTATAATCTTCTTCTCTAGATGTTAATTAAAGAATTGATTCTCTAATATTATTAATTGAATGAGCTGTTTAAGAGATTTAATAATTGCTTCCTTCTTAAGGTTTTTTCAGTGAATTCTAACTTAACTGTAGCTATTTTCTAAAAGCGTACTTTGATCTTTAGTTAACATATTTATAGAATAATCAGATGAACTAGTTGTTGTACCTAATTCATCAATTTGATTTCTACTTTCTATAACCTCAGATTCTGAAGAATCAGAATCTAGATATAATTCGTGTATTTTATTTAACACTTCTTCATCTAAATGTAATTCATTTAACTTTTTATTAAATTTACAAAATTTTTAAGTATGTCCCTTTTTACCACAATTATAACAAGTTAAATCTTTATAAGAGGTTTTATTAGAATTTTTAGCTTGTTGCTTTCTTTTAGACTTCCTTTAGACTTCCTATGGGGTTTATATTTTTCGTTAGAATAAAATTTCTCTTGACTAGGTATAGACCTGTATTGTCTTTTATGATATTTATTTTTATAATGTTTTTTAGATTTATGTGTTCGCAAGCATTGTCCATCACATTTCTGTGGAGATTTTAAATTATAATCAAATTGTTTACAAAATGATCCTAATTCTTTTTACAAAAACTGCCTAATTCTTGTTTAGTCTTTTTTAATTCAAATTTTAAATTTCTTTGAAGTTTTAAATCTTGACAAATCTGCAAACCTTCTTTTTGAATTATACTTATTAATTGACCATAAGTTAGTTTAGTATATGGAATTGGATTGCCATGAGTTTGTTTTATAAAATCCCTAACTCTTTCCCCTAAAAAATAAGGTAATCCAGTTAAGAATTTTTCTTTCCAAAAAGCTTGGTTTGAATCTTCTCTTAACATTAGACGTGTAAGAAAAGTGGTTTTATAAGCCTGGAAATCACTTAAATGTTTACATTTTAAATTACTTAAAAGTTCTGCATTCTTATCCTTTATATGGGATGGGTCTCCTATAAAATGTAAAGAAATAGTGAGTATTAAGGTTGCCACTGCATCCTGAATAAGTTCACCATTTTCATCATAGATAGGTTGATCCTCATCATTTACTTGAACTGAATTTAATATATCTAAATGGTCTTTTTCAGTTAAGTGGTAATCCCACCAACCTTTTAACTGTCCTGTAAATCCTGCAATGAGGATTTCAGCCACAGCCCTATCCGAAATAGGTGCTTGGGTTTTATAAGCATTTGCAGCCATTGTCATTTGTTGCAAAATACTTAAAATTTTATATTCAGATAATCCATCAATATTCCATTCATATAATGTGTTAGCATTAATATATTATATTTCCCAACTTAAGATGTTCTTATATTCAAGTCCAAATCACACAAGAGCATCATGATGAGACATTTAACAAGTGTTGTGAGGAACTTGAAGGCATTCCTAGGCTTCTTATGTCGTTAGTGGCATGTGAAGTTGGTGTGCTACAGTTGCACGGCTGTGCCAACTAGCACGCCCCAGACCGTGCACTCTACTGACTCTTTAAGGTGAGAAAAGCCCGCTGCTACAGTGCCCATTTTACTGCGCACGCCCGTGCTACAAGACCGTGCACTCCTCTGACTCTTTAAGTGTGCTACAGTACCATGCTACAGTACCGTGCTACTGCGCACGCCGGTGCTATAAGACTGTGCACTCCTCTGACTCTTTAAGTGTGCTACAGTACCATGCTACAGTACCCGTGCTACTGCGCACGCCCGTGCTACAGTGCCCGTGCTAAAGCGCACGCCCGTGCCAATTAGCACGCCCCAGACCGTGCAACCCACTGACTTAATCGTGTTTCTATGTTTTTATGCTTTATTTAGCTTAGTTCTTTGTTATTATTTGTTTTTTTGTAATGGGCTTTGTTGTTAATGGGTCCTATTCCAATAAGTTTAAACCTAAATATGTTGTTAGGTTTTTAGTATAAATATTCTCATCTTTCTTTGGTAAACAACAACTTTGAAGCATTTGATAAACCTTCATTTGTTCAAGCTTATGCTTTGTTCTCCTTTGCTAGAGTGATAGTGAGAGATTTGCTTTCCTCTAATTAGCATCAAGAATTAAGGTAAAACTTATCGAACTCTTTTTGTGCGGGTTTGATCTTGTCTTTGCGCTTGATTAATTGGGTGTTAACCCCGTTTTCCTTATAAACGTGGGGTGCCATGAGATGCCGATTAATTCTCGAGTTATTGGTGTTTCCGTTTCATTATAGAACGTAGGGGGTGCCATAAGAGTGCGAATTTATAATCTCATTCTTTGATTCGATCCCGGGTATCAGATACAATGATAAAAAACTTTATTGGAATCACAAATTTCAGTAGAGGGGAGGAGCCGAAATGGAAATGCTAAGTGAAGCAAGAAGAATAAATATAACTTAAATTAGTAAATTAAATAAATGTTGTTTTCTATTTTTTTAATATGTTTGGGATAGGAATTGTAGAATGAATTTGTTAGATTTAGGGAATAGGGCAATGGAGAGCATCTTTAAAGATTTGGATACAATTGAATCCTATGACTAGGTGGCCCCCTCCTCCTCTGCTCTATTCCTCCTCCATACGGAGTTGGTCTCTCTGCGGGCGATCTCTGTCTCTCTCCTCATTAGGCCCTCTATTTATTTGGCTCGGAACAAGGACATTTTTTTTAGAAAACCATTAGTCCTTCTTTGCACTAAGGCATAGTAGAATTTCCCCCACAGCATCGTAGTAAATACCTGATGTAAATTCCCACAGCATCGTAGTAATACTTTTAGCTTTTTTCTTTAGCTACACTAAACCGGAGGATATATCTCGTGCACGAGTTTGGTTTTTTGAAGGAAAGAAGAAGATTTTGCTTTATACTGAGAGAAGACATTTCAGCTCCAGATATAAGGTTCTCTTGACCTGATTCCTTTATTAAATTTCTTGTTACTTTTGTTACACCTCTAACAGCTGGTTCAATTTGTCTTCTCATACAAGAATATTGTTTCCAGATATTTAAATCAGTAATTAGATATCATGTAACTGTCACTCTTTTCTATATTCTGATGAGTAGATTCGCGGCATTCAAAGTTTGATAATCTATTCTCTTCCTGAGAGAAAGGAGTTCTACCCTGAGGTGAGTGCCGGCAAAGCTATCAAAAAGATATGGGTTTCGCTGTCATTTTCTTTCTTGATGTTATGGAACTCCTGTTTTACCTGGAATCTTTCTACTGCATGTAGGTGGTGGTTAACAATGCTTGAAGGGGCCCAAAACATGACATTGCACTGTTGCTTTTTTTCTCATTCGATCTGCTTCGGCTAAAAGCTTCTTTTCTCTTTCTTCTTTTCCATGGCATGCTTGGGATTGGATTGAACTAGTAAGCTTATACCTCCCAAACTTCGTATAATCTAAATTTATTGTATTGATTTGGTCTTGGTTTATGTTGCAAAAATTAGAGTTTGAGTTCAATTATAGAAAGTAAATAGCATACATTTGCACATTATTTTCAAGTTGACAAAAAGTCTATGTATGGAGAGCAAACCACTTTATTTTCGACAGGAGATACATTTAGCAAGCAATAATCATTGTATTAAATGCGTAAACCTTTTACAATACCAATCCTTCATAAACCTCAAGCATACCATACCGTTCATAAGCACTTGTATTATTCACAAAGCTTAAATTGTTAAAGCTTTCTACGAATACACTCCCAGTTATGAGTGTTACCTCATTCCTTTTCATCAGAATAGTAAAAACTAGGATAATGTCCTCTAGCTTGGATCATTTCCCTAAATTAAAAGATTTACCTTAATCATCACCCAGCGTAGGAACTTGTTTCTCAGTTAGTTTTGCTACCAATTGTATACTGCTATATTTTTTGTGCGGTTCATTCATTCCATATTTCAGGGTCCAAACAGATCATGGTGAGTATTTCACACATTATGCACACGATTTTGCTTAGAATCATATTTAGTATAAAAAAGCTGCAATATTGCAAAACCTTTTTTAGATAACTATTGATCTGTTTCTAGATGTTGAATAGATCAGCAGTTGTTTTTGCAAAAATGTGAGTTACAAGAAAATTTACCGAGCTGTGTGAACAAGTTTTACTTTTGCTGCGTATGAACTTAATCTAATTGATGTGTGTGTGCCCGGATGTGTGTACCTGCAATGTGTGCACGCATATGTACGAGTGGACTAATTATGATGGGAGAATAACCAGAGCTTATGTTCTTCAGTAAGAAATTAGCAAACATGCTTATTTAGAGACTGTTCATTAAAATCTGAAAAAATTTGTATCATTACTTACCTCAATTTCCTAAATACTTGTCACCGTTTTGGAATTTTACGTCCTTAAGAAACCATTGAAATTTGTCTAAGTACAATAAGATTATGAATAAATTGACTATATTATCCTTAATTTAGTTATGTCCAAAACACCAAATTTTGAGAAATTGAAACAGTAATGTTTGGTCACATACAAGGGATAAACATGAAAAAAAAAATTATTACTTCTTTGAACCACAAATTTGTAAAAATTTTGGAACATTAGTTTTTATTTTTTTTTCAAATGTGAACAGCATTTAGGAAACAGAGGTAGTATTAGAGAACCATGAAACCTGACATTTAAAAGATTTTCTGGTTGAAACCAAGTTCACATTTTGTAGAATTCTTTTACAGAGTCTATATTTTCCAAAAACTAAGTGCTTGTAAATAAAAATGCAGCTTAACAATTCTTTTTCCTTTTTTGTTTCTATCGAATTGGGGTGTCTGATCAAAATTCTAATGGAATAAATAAAAAATTTGCAAACTGGAATCCAAACTTAAAACAAGGGTATCAAGCCGTTAAAGTTTAAAGGTTCTTAGATACAAAGCTAATAAAAGCTATATATTATTAAATGAAATTCAATGATACAATTTAGCATACCAATTAACTTATTTGCAAATTGAAATTTTTTTTAATGAAATTTCATGTGAAAGAAAATTATTTATTTCCACAGATTTATTTTCAAACGCTATCTGAGTGTTTGACCTCTCCTGCCTGCCATTTCCTCAATCTTAGACTGATATCGGTGAATCGCCATTTATCATTTTTTGCTTTCTCTCGATTTCATTGTATTTATATATTTGTTTTTATTGCTGGGATGCCTTAGCTGAGAGAATTGTCGGATCAGGAGTACGCAAGGAAGATGGTCAGATCGGGAAAAGAATGTACTTTTATTCCCAATAGTGTTCGTTTCAGGTCAGACATCCACAACTGCAACATTGAAGAAGTCTGCAGGATGGGTAAATTCAAAACATTGTTTACTTAAACAACTTTACTGGCCAAAAGGAATTGAATGCGAAAGCAAGTTAGATTAAAATACAAAAATGAGTATGGAGGGATAAATTGATAACAGTAATTTAAGAGGACGCTTTACCTATCCGAAGGATGTTATCTAAAAAGAATAATATTTAAGTTTGGATGCAAAGTTTGAATATTTGATTTTGTTTAAAATTGTCACAGGAAATGGGAAAGCATTGTTCCATTTAAAATGGAATCCTAACAATGCCTTCTTTATTGGACATTTGTGTTTAGAAAACGCGTAATTCAATGCAGACATTGTTTATTTTAATTTTATTTATTTTTTTGGACGGCAGGAATTGATTGAAGATGGATGATTTAGCCCTTGCATGCCTTATTTAATATTGATGAAAGAATCTTCACATCATCGTCACTCTTCTTCTTTTGGCCGGCTCTTTTTCTTTCTTTTTTTTTTCCTTAGTTTGCAAGCCGCTGCTATTTCGCGAGGGAAAGACCCATCACAACCACCGCCTATACTTCCACCTGAGAAAATAAGTTTAGACGCGCTTTTAAAAATAAGTTCCAACATTCCTATTTTCTTTTTTTTTACAAAATTTGAATTTTCTTTTTAAATTTTATTTTATTTTACTATATATTGATTGCGACTTTAAGTTTCCTATTTAATAGATAAATATATAAATTACCACCAAATTTAGAATTAGAATCCAATAAAAACACTAAACAAATTTTCTTCTTTTCTTTTAGTATTACAGTTTCTATATGAGACTTGCAGCGAGTCTCTGCGCTTCACACTTCTCAGCATTACAGTTTCTCTTCCATTACTTGCCTCAAAATATACTATGAATACCATGTTTATTCATTGCTAAGCCTAAATTATAAACAAACTACGCGCATGGGAGCGGCTACATCATTTTAAGGTGTTCTTTTATTTTTCTCCTCATTCTTTAGTTCTCCATTAAACGTCAATTTCCGTTGTTACTTTTTTTTTTTTTTTTTTTAATGTTTGTTTAATATTTGTTTATCAGAAAAGATTTTTCACCTCGTGATCCGATCACAGGTGGATTTTGGACATTGTCATGAGTGGCTTTAGAATGTTCATCAAAATGTCAATATTCCCTTATAAAATATTGTGGTTGAAATTGAAATTGATTTTAAAATGTTGTTATATTTATTCATTTATTTTTCTTGAGAACCACATTAAAGTGTCATTATAAAAATGTGTGGGATTAGATGGACATTTAAATGCAATAGGAAAAATGTCAAACATGCAAACATTATTATAATTGTATCTTTTAAAAATCATATTTCCATTCCAGTATATGGTGGTTTTAACAAAACATATTCAATTATAAAAAACTGCTTTTTTATTAGGAACACTTTCCCTCTGTGTATTCACCTTTTCGCCTGTTTGGTCCAAAGATGAGATTCTTAATGATAGTTGTTGTATTCACACCTATTTTGCAATAATAGCTTGTTTCATAGTTAGGATTAACTGCATTTTGTTCGAGTTTATTTACTTATTTTTGAAGGGACATTTAAATGTTTAATTTTCAAAATTACAAAAACAGTTTCATTTTATTCAATCTCTTTATGGGTAAGAATAATCTAAAATGCTTAACACAATTTTTCGTTTATTAGCTTTATCAGCAATTGAATAATAATGAAAAGCCTTCTTTTTTTTTGGAGGAACCACATATCAAATGACAGTAATTTAAGGAAATATGACATTGGCCCTTTTTATACAATTAAAAATTTTAATACTAAAAAAAGGGGGGGATTTTTTTTTTTTTTTTTTTTCCTTATCCCCATGAATTGGAAAATACTTTGTTACTTCCTATGCTTGTTATTGATACTATTTACTTTATTTATTGAGCCATAGGAATTCCCTTCATATTCAATTCGATGAGGAAGGATGCAGTTGGATTATTGTCAAAACTAATAACTCCTTAAACTTTTGTACCAAACCAAAGTGAGTCTGTGGATTTTGTATGAATTGTAAGCAAATAATTATTTTACCATTCAAAAAGTATTTTTGCGATATATTATTTTGCACTTGAATTATTTGAAATTGTAGAAGTTTATTTTGTATAAAATTATCTAGGATAGCTGGATAACGAAACGATATTTAATCTGTTTGAATTATAAAACTCTAACTAAATTAATGATATATATTAATTTTTATATAACACGACACATTTATAAAGAAAAAAAAAAAAATTTTTAATATATACTCTCTCTGATCCAATTTGTTTATATGGTTTGTATAAATTACGTATATTAAAAATTTAGTCATAAAAAATTTTTGCCGTTTTTAATATTGACTTATTAAGATATTAATAAAAGTCATTCATTTATAGATTTATGAGTGAAAAGTAATTGTTTTATATAAAAAATTTAAAAAATTTTATAAATATTATTATAAGTATGGATAGTTTCTTTTAAACTTATCAGACTACCAAAACAATTAACGAGTTTCATCTAGTGATTTTATAAGTCCTGGAAAGGTAGTTATGTTATGATATATTCGTGGAAATGATTTTATTTAACATCAGTTTTTGAATAAACTATTAGTTCGGGACAGG